ATATTCATGTAATTGAATGGAAATGTTGGATCGTGTATGGTATGAGATGATGTTTTAGTGAACTATTTTCCTTCTCAATTGTAGTCTCTTTGTGTAATGTTTTAGGGACAATGTCCCGTTTCAGAACTACTCCGTCGGAGTTTGTAACTTAATCAACTGTGTACGACGATTATGATCTTAATTGTTAAAAATTTCGACAGAATAATTCCGTAAGGGGTAGTATTTTCCAATGTTTTATCATTTATGCTTAAATTTTACCTAAAGTGCTTGGATCACAAAAGTGTGCTTTTGCATAATAAAGCAATGTGGATTTTTCCCTTTAGTGATGGATGTCGGGATAGGAATAGGAAGATTCGACGATGACAAAAAAAAGGGTGGGAAAAAAGTGATGGGCTAAATTAGTGGGCCCACAAGCGGTGGGCTGGAGCTGGACGGCACTTAAAGGAACGTAACGTGCGGTGATGGTTGAGAAATTTAAGTAGGATTTGGTGGAATTTTAATGATATAATAGAGGGGGATTCGTTCTTCTGACTTTATTATAGCTTTTGCCCTTTCGCACATGCATTCGTGTCTTTTTTTTTCCACCATTTTTCTAATGAAAATTAGGGAAGGTGAGAGAGTTGAAGCTATATATTGTGTAATAATTAAATTTTGTAGTTATTCATAACTATGAGAAATACTCACTTACTCACGGTGGACACATGTTAATATGCCCACCGCGTAGGTGGCATATACTCATTAGTGATGTTAATATGTTTTGAAAAATACATCACCAATGAGTGCATGCCACCTACGCGACGGGCATATTAACATGTGTCCACCGTGGGTAGGGGAACATTTCTAACATAAACTATTAATGTACTAATATTCATTCAAAGTGTATTCCTTATAATGCAAGTGTTAATATATAATTTGCGAATAATTGTGAAATGGTTCTATAATTCGTATTAGTTGATGGCTTCATAGCAAAATTATTGTGTAATGACTGTATTAAGCCGTGCCTACCGCGATTTAAGTGCTACCTAAAATCTGTAAGGGTATTTTCAGCTAAGGATGAGAGAATTAGGTGGAAATGTGAATAATTTTTGGTATTGTCATACATCTTTCTTTGTCTGCCTAATTTTATTTTTAAGGATCTGATGTTAATTATCCATATTATTTTGGTCCATTCATTTGACACGACATTTATGAGGTCGTTGTCTTGTTCGATGAAACGTTTTGTGTTTTGTAATTCCTTTTGGTTTTTGACGGTAATAGGGATATTAGTACCGACTGAACTCAACCGGATGTAGATCTATAAGACTGGGTCCGAATAGACCCTAGGACCGAACTAAGCCAAAGGGGTCCAGATGGTTGAGGGTTGAATGGCTTGCGCATTGACACTATGTTGGCCGGCTCGAGCATCGGCCCTTGGTGATCACAACATGGGCCGAATATTAACCCATAAGGTCAGACATCGATTAAGTTATTCTCGGTCGATATGCGTTCGGGGACTTAGGGCCGTGAAAGAGAAATCGTACAATTAATCACTTTATCAAGGGTAAATTCCGCAGTTAGAAGGTGAGACTCATTTATTACAATCACTATTACATTTACTAGTAAGTAGCCCGTGCGATGTATGAGACAAAAGTATTAAATGAGTCATTTCTACAGAGTTTGTCTGTTAAGTAGCTCGTGCGATTCACGGGAAATATTAAATGAGTGGACCATAAGGCTTGTCCGTTCAAACCTAAAATATGATAGAGTTTGGTCAACTATTATTTTTTACTTCTTTTCATCAACTTCATTTTTTTTTGTCGGGACATTAAACTTGAGCCTGGTAGCGCTAGCCCGTAAATTAATTAATATATTATCTAGCTCACATGTTTATAATAATATAAATTTAATTTCATTATATATATTTATTCATTGATATAAGAAAAATAACAATTTTTTACGTAATTTTGTTCCTCGTATAATACTCATATTATTTTATTATAAAATTTATTGTACTATAATGTCATTGTTATTATTTATACAGGTTATAGATGTAGTATTCTTCTTCTTTTTGTTTTTATGTAATTAAAATATTCAATATATGTTAAAATTATTTATTAATGTAAATAAATTTAAAGTAGAACATTTTGTACAAACATTTTACAAAATATACACAAATATATTTTGTTTTTTTATAATAAATAAACATCTTTGAAATTCTATGCATTTATTAAACATATTTGATATAAATTCGAAATCATACTTGAATTCTATGCAATTATTAATTCCGCCCGATGTTATGGGAAACAAATCATCCAAAAATGTAACAAAATGATAAGTAATTTTAAAATTTAAATTTTAAATGAAACGTTTTTACTTGAATTCTATGCAATTATTATTTTGTCCGATTTTATGGCAAACAATTCATTAAGGATTTTAATGTAATAAAATGATAAGAAATTTTAATATTTAAATTTAAATTTGAAATGAGACATGTTTTTATTTGAAGTCTATCTGTCCGATTTTATTACAAAACACATTAATTAAGGATGGAATTAATGTAGCCAGATTTTTAGCTATAAAATAATAGTACAATTGCAAAAATGATAAAAATATAATGCATTAATTTTCCTTTGACTTTTTTTAATACTAAATTTAGTAAATATGATGACTTTATATATATATATATATATATATATAGGATGCAAGTTACTCTTAAATCCGGGATGTTGAATTGAGCGTCGGAGGGTCTTGCGCTGAAGTAATTCCGGTGCTTTTTCTGTTTTTCAGGTACCGACGAAACTTACAAACTTGGGCCAAACTGAATCAATAGGATCTACGCTCAAACCAGAGGAGGCCTTTCAAAAGACCATAGTCATCTATTTTGGACAAAACACGCTCAATAATTCGTTGTCAGCAGCAGGTAACTTCAACTTTGTGCAGTACTATATATATCTAGAGAGGACTGAAGGGCTGCGACTCGATTCGATATCCTTTACTGTTCGATAATAACCGCAACTATGGATTAGTAGTTGGCTACAAACACGCTCAATAATTTGCTAGGTACCTCACTGAAGATCTATGACTCAATTAGTAGAGGACTAAAGAGCTACATATGTTCCGCAACATATTATTAATAAGGCAACGTTGATTCTAACCGATTAAATTGTGGGAAAATGCAATTCAACGGTTAAACACCCAACGGGATGATACGTCTCGGGATGACGACACGTCATCGATATCAAGATGACCGTAGCATCTTCATCAATTGTGATCCGTCACCAAAAGAAATGATTAAGATGCGTGTGTTCCGTAACATGTTTTGTTCATTACTTTGACCAATTGTATATATAGAGTAGTGTATACAAATCATGAAAGATAAAAAAGAGAATCTAATTACTAGAGATATCTTATTATACCTTAATTAAGACATATTGAACAGGTAGCTAGTTCTCAATAAACCAACCCTTACAAGTTACAAGTTACAACTCATTACAATAGTCATATTCCAACTCAAGTAGTCATCAACAGAAAGACATGAACAAAAACTGTCCTCAGTACTAATCGCCTCACCAGTATTCACCGCGAAGCTCTCTAAGTACCCTTCCATGTGGGGAATCAGGATCTCCCCTCACCGCATTCCACCGGAAAATCTCCGCCGCCCTTCTGAGCGAATCCTCAGCCGTGTCCAGCTGTTCCGGCCGCCACACCACAAATCCCATCCCTTCTTTCCCCACGGTCTCGTTCTGTACCGTTCCATCGGTTGCTCGGGTGATCGGTTTTCTCGTGTCGGCTATCTCGATTTCTGATAACGGCGAGGCTTTGTGGTGCTTGAAGTACTCCACGTTGTCCTCTCTCTGCTCCTCCTCCTGCCTTTTCGGATCAGTCTCCGCCGCTTTTGGCGCCTCCGGCCCGGCGGAGCAGCCGATCTCGCTGGAGTTTGCGGAGATCCGGCGCTTTTGCTGTCGAATAGGATTGGTTTGTGGCCCGATTCCGGGGTGTTCGATTTTCGGAGTAGATTCGATTGGTGATTTTGGGGTGACGTAAGGTTGGTGGTCCTTGTCCACGGTAGCTTCGTCGTGTTCTGGCCGAGGGCGGCGGCGTTTTTCGTCCTCTATGGCTTCCGTTGGGTACACCTCCTTGATAGTGTTTATATAGAAATGAGAGTTGGTTTTTTCATTGAATAAGAAAAAAGTTGATAGTGTTTATATAGAAATGGGAGTTGGTTTTTTCATCGAATAAGAAAAAAAGGAGAGAGGCATGCAAACGAGGGGAGCCTAGCTCGAACTTCGGTGCTCGATCTCGAACCCTTCTTTTCTCAACTCGTTAAATAAACGAGCCTGAAATCAAACTCGAGTTCGAATCGCTATCACTAATATTAATAACAAACCAAGTTCAAGTCGATATCGAGTTTTAATGAACCGAACTATAAAAATTTATAAAAAAAATTTCTCAGAATTTTATTGGGTCAAGTCGAACTCAGCTTGTTAACCAAATGAATTTTAAATGAGCTCGATAAACAAGCCCAGCCAAAACCAAACCTTAACTAGTCAAACTCAAGTCAAGCCGAATTTAAACTCTTTTAATTTAAAGGCACGAAGAAATAAAAAGTTACGAGTAATTTAAATACTAAGGACAAATTTTTTTTATATGAGATGTAACTTACGTCGTGATCTACCGCGTGCTCAGCGGGATCAGCAGTTCGGCCGGTGGTTGTGGTACAGCCAAGCCGTTGAGTCAGATGGTGCTTTTGGCTGCTGGAGAGTATGAGGCGGTTGAGCCTCGCCGCGGCGATTGCTAATCTGGACTGCATTTGTGTGTGTGTGAGTGTGTTTTATTTCTCTTAATCTTGCGTTAATTTTGGAAGTCGCAAGTGAAAGATAAGCATATATGGATTTTCGAGGGAGGTGAGTGATAATTGCTGGCGTTTGTTTTGAGTGACGCGTGGCGGGATGGTATACGTGGCAGATTTTTCCGCGAGCTGCTGGACGCTTCGAGTTAATTTTATTGTTTTCTTTCAAAAAATACTTTTTTTTGTCCTCTATCTTTTCTTCTCTTGGCTACCTCGCCAATTTCGTTCTTTTTTTAAGCAAATGAGCCTAAAATGTAAAAAATATAAATGAATTAAACAACTACACTAAGAGATACCCATAATATTATATATGATTTAACTAAATAATAAATATTTAAACTCACCGGAGGTGCTTCAAAGATGTGAAGTCCTCAAAAACTGAATGACGCTAATAACATGTGATTAGTTGTAAAATTAGATTCACGACAAATGTGCCGCAAATCTGTTAGAATATATTTTGTATATATGGTTATAATATATTTTGTATATATATTGTAGGATTAGATTTAGGCTCATTATGTTCCTATATATATGTGTACATGTCTTTTGAATAATATAGAACATATATTTTTCCCACTTTCTTACATGGTATCAGAGCTCGGTTCTATTGGGACCGTATGATGACGTACTCGTTTATAGGAGTCTGCTTCCCCACGTACCCGTTTATGGGAGTCTACTAGAAAGTCTGCTTCTAGTAGGCTTGGGGCGCCCAGTTACAATTCCTCTCTAGCAGCTTCTGTATATCTTGGATTAGATTCAATGAAGTCATGAAATCTCTCTAACACCCAGAACCATCTGACATGCAACTTAAATGTCCACTTAAATCTAGACATGGCCAAAACCCCGGGCCGACGGGTTGGGTTTGGCAAACCCTGAACCGGCACGGCCTAGGTTCGTGCCGGGTCGGGCCCAGCCCGGGTCTGGGCCTCCCTAATAAAAAAAAAGAAAAATTTGAAAATCATTTGTTTTTTCCGTGCCGGCATAGACCGGGCAAAATCCCACCTGATTGGCCCGGTTGAAATCTGAGTCGGGCTCGGACTTGTGGTCAACGGGTTTGACCAGGCCGGGTCGGCGAGCCGGTTGACCCGTGGCCACGTCTACTTAAATCGCTACTCTAAGAAACTTGAAATCCCATGCTAATCGAAATCCCATACTTGTAACTGTTGAGAAACCAATATTCATGAAACCCTCCAAGTCATGTGATGATCACAGCTCAAACCTCCGACACTAGCCATTACAGAGCTACAATTAAAGCCCGTCGGAATTAATTTTAACCCAGTCTTCTGTCGGCGAAATCCATCTTATCAGTCGAATCTCACGCCTAGAAGCAATGCCTCCCAGATTCTCCGCACAGGCAGCAACCGCTTTTAATTTCGAAACGTGCATCTCCATTTTTTTAACCTTATGAGCAACAATAAAGTATTCATTTGAGAATTTTTTGTGTTTCTGCCATCCCGAAATTAGCCATAAAGCAACGCAAAAAATGTATGCCCAACTTGCATCAAAATTTCCACGTGAACAAATAAAGTTCTATCCTAATCAATATCTTAAATTTGAAATAAAAAAAAAGATGAAAACAAATAACTTGACAAAATTATTTTTCACACCTCATTAACCCAAATGCAGTTCCGACAACGCATGCATTGTTTCCGGCGCCATTCCACATAAGCTGCACATAAGGAAGCTGTCATATGCCTTTGATACCTTTCCGAATTAGTCAAAATCGACTACGAGCAACAGGCCCAAAAAATTGACAAAATCTTTGAGGCCCATCCCAATGCCAAACCTTAGTAAACTGATCAGCGTATGAGAAACCCCAGTAGATGACATCCGAGTCTACATCAAAATAGAGGAGCAACAGTGATGCCATTCGCAAAAGCAATGGTGCAGATAGGATTGCAAATGAGTCGAACATTGACCTTATTGAGCAGGATTAAGTTTTTTTTTAAGCTGCTCAAGCTCGACTTGATAAAAAATTACAATAGCTCGAGTTCAACTCGAGCTCGACTCGAAATCAAAATGCTCGAGCTCAGCTAAAAAATATTTAAGTGGAACGATAAAATTACCATTAAACGCATATGCTAATATATATAATACGGCGCTTGACTCGAAATCAAAATGTTCGAATCGCTCGATTCGTTTGCTGCCTAAGTGCGGATAGCAAATGTGTAAACAAAGGTCAATTCTAGTTGCCTGATGTTAGTGATGTTGCAAATTTCAACTTCGCTAAACTAAATCATGTTTTATTTTATTTATTTATTTGATTGTCTGCTCCACCGGAGGGTGTGTTGAAAGTTAATACGGATGACAGTTTTGTCCCGAAGACGGGGATGGCGAGTGCTGGAGGGGTTGTCGAGACCACTGTGGGTCATGGTTTGGTGGTTTTACAATGAATATTGGCTATTGCTCTATTGTGAGTGCCGAACTTTGGAGCTTATTCTAGGGCTTGCAGCTGGCGTGAGATATAGGTGGCCGTAAACTCGTGGCGGAAGTGGATAATCAAAGTATAATTACCTTGGTTCAGGATTCTATCGGGCTACATGGGAGTCTTATTCGGGGTATTAAAGAATTGATGGGGCGCCCTTGGGATCTTCTGATTGTTCATGGTCACGTGAGACATATGTTGTGGCGGATTTCTTGGCATCTCTTGCGGCCAAGGGAACGGGTGGCTTGAACCGGTTTGATCATCCTCCTTTGGGAGCTGGACTTTGGTTACAACATGATCTTTTTAGCGTGGCTCACCCACGCCGTGTCGTGATCGAGCATTAGCTTTAAAGCTAATGCTTTTCATTTCCTATTAAAAAAAAAAAGAAAAAAAAAAACTCCATAATATAGTTCATTGCCCACTCTCAATACGAATCAATTTTGCATCTAATACATCAACACAAGTCCAATACGGACCAGTTTTGCATCCAATACATCAACAGTGTGAGAACTGAGTAAGACTCAACTGACCCGAGCACATCAGCCAAACATACACAAAACTAGACACAGTCAAATAACACACTCCTCAGCCTTAGTACGTACAGTCGATCAAACACATTAGAGCTTATCTTTCTCTGATTCCATATCGTTCCGCAACCACAAGCGTAATACAGCAAACCAGAGAGAAAAAAAAAATAAAAAAAAATGCACAAAATGGAGAAGTTATCCTCTGTGGCGAAGACGCTTGCACCTTCTCCAATCCAACAGCTTTCTTTCTTAGCTCAGAGTTGCAACGCTATCAACCTCGCCGAGGGCTTTCCCGATTTCCCCGCGCCTCCTCACGTCAAAAACGCCGCCGTCGCCGCCATCAACTCCGACTTCAATCAGTACAGGTTCACCTATTGTATAGCAAAACGCCGTCGTTCACCTATTTTACATTTAGTTTATTTTCCTGTTTATTGAAGGCATGTGCAGGGAATATGTGATTTCGTGGCGGAGAAGATGAAGAAACTCCATGGAATTGACGTTGATCCACTCACAGATGTGGTCATTTGCTGTGGCCAGTCGGAGGCCTTCGCTGCAACACTATTCGCAGGTATAGCTTTTGTTTTGCACTTTTTTTTAACCAAATTTGTGGAGATGGAGTGATTTTATAGAGGGCTATGAGTTTAATTTATTTTAGAAAATTTTTCAGTAATTGATAGAGGTGATGAGGTCATACTTTTCGACCCGTCGTACGAAACGTACGACACTTGCATCAGGCTTGCCGGAGGAGTTCCGGTGAGCTGATATAGTTTCAGAACTAGTTATCGTCTTTGGTATTGTGATTAAGAATTTGACTATTGATGTTTTCATGGTTATTGAGGAAAATGCAGGTTTATGTAGGCCTTGATCCGCCTTATTGGACATTGAATTCAGATAAACTCGAGAAGTCATTTACCAACAGAACAAAAGCATTAGTGTTGAACAGGTATGATTTGAATTGTCGGACGAACTTTTAAAGTTTTCTATTGAAGACGTGATTTGAGTTGAAAAACTCGTTCATTGGTAGAAGTTCAAACCGATGCATAAATCATAAAAGTTAGCGTGGCTTGGGATAGGTAGTTGTTTAATTGAATTGTGATGGTCTTGAAGTTAGGATGGGTGATGGGTTCTTAGGTATAAAGACTTTTTTAGAACTCTACTGATCAAAACTGGTACAGTCCTCACAACCCAACTGGAAAGGTTTTCACCATGGATGAGCTTGAGATCATTGCTGGAGCTTGCCGGAGAAGGGATCTGATTGCTGTCACTGATGAAGTATGATAGACATTTATTTATAGTAAAAATGTTTTGACTAAGATTTTCTAGACTCCCTTGGTTGATTTGTTTCTTCATTTATGAATTAACAGAATAATTTTATTGCTATATATTATCTTCCAGAATGTGAACTGTATTTGGTCTAGGAGATCCGTTATTCGCAGGATGAGACTTTGTTTTCAGGCTTTGACGAGAAGACAGGGGAAATTGCATTTAACTTTGGTTCTAATATTATTGAAAGTACAGATACATTCTCGCAGTAATGCTTTAAATAGAACACCTTAGAAAAAAGCATATGATTCAGCTTATATCTTGTATGTTACAGTTGAAATGTACCTTGAAATCTGATTCTGATGTCAGATATCGATTTCTTGTAATTAGTAGCAGGCTTCAAAATCTAAGAGGATTCTGAGAAAGATGCTCTTCTATCAGATAAAAAAATAAATTAATGAAATTTGAGGGCATCTTTCTTGTCAGACATCTCAGCATATCATTTGAGTCCATTATATGACTTACATGTCAAACATAATCTATCAAATATTGCTGATGTTAGGAAGTCGATAGGCCCAATACGTCTGTTTTCCAATTATCATTTCCACATGGCATCAGCAATTTTTGTTTTGTTTCCTTAATTTATTTTGCAGGTATACGAGCATATAACCTTTGACAATCAGAGGCATGTATCACTTGCTTCACTTCCTGAAATGCAATCGCGGACAGTCATCACATCTTCCCTTTCAAAAACTTTTAGTGTTACTGGTACATATCTTGCCTAATATTTTCTCCAACTTTCTTTGCTCTGGCTTTTACCAAATAAAATAATTATTCTGTGGATGTATGAGCAAGAAAGAGTGTGTGATTAGCTCGACGCATTTTTTAGGATGGAGAGTCGGATGGGCAATTGCACCCCCTTGCATTGCATCGGCAATCAGAAACATTCACATCAAAATTACAGATTCTGCTCCAGCACCTTTCCAGGAAGCAGCTTTGGTTGCGTTAAGAAGTTCTCCTACATACTTTGAATCATTGAGAAAAGTACGATTTCAGCATAT